TTTTTTTTTTTTTTTTTTTTTTTTTTTTTTTTTTTTTAAGATGTCCAACAAAGATACGATAGCATCGTCGTGCTGGTGGCCAGAGTTCAACGTCATCACTTCTATCGCTGCTATCAATCTCCTCTTCTTCGGGATTCGTTCCCGTAATCCTGATATTAATCCTTCGCGATCCGGAGCGGTCTAAAATGTTTGAAGAAGGAATTGTACAAAGACCGTTTGCGCGTATCAAGACTATCCTGAAGGATACGGATCAACAAATAATACTGGAAACGGCCAATTAGTAAAATTCTCTCTTCTGATTAGTCGTCAACCAAATGCTTGAAAGGAAATGATATCAGTTACATCAATTTCGATCCTTGATTATCGATTGCTGCCGGATCGCGAAGGGTTCTAAGTGGTTCATCATCCTTACGGTTTGCCGTCTTCCGGCCTGGGCGTGTTGAGCAGCTCGCTGGCGAGGCTGACGTACTCCCACGGGATACCTCGGGAGTCCACGCTGAGCTCGCGACCGGCCTGTGGTATGTCCGTCGGGCTCTGCAACGACGTGAAGCTCGTCTCCAGGCAGAGCCGGTGCGGCGGGGTACCGGCTAGATTGCCCAAATGGTATCTGGTCGGGCTGGACGGCGACAACAGGGCTCGCATTTCCTGCTCTTGCAGCTCCAGCTCCTGGATTTCAATCGTCTGATGCTCGCGCGCCGCCTCCGACGACACCTCCGTCGAGGACGCGTGCCCGGACACTAGTCGCTGCGGTTTCGCCGGTCCCAGAGTCGTCACAACCTGGTCGCACGACGCGAGCCACGACGTGGGATACAGTCGTGCCTCTCGTTATAGAGTGTCGCGAAACTACAGGTACAAATCTCGTCCACGAATTTCTCGAGCTCGAAATCGATTTTCGCTTAGCAAACATCTCGTTATGTTTCTCTCGTTTCAATTTTCTACCTTGAAACGCTTGACAATTAAATGTCACGTGAAAATTGGAACGAGTTATCTCGTAGAAGAAGAGCAAGGATTCGGGGGTTTGCCATTTTATTTTTCTACATCTTGAATGTTTTCGTAAAATCTTACTTAAATAAATTTCCTGAGCTTGAATAAAAGGAACAAGGATACGCCATTTGCGCTTATGTTATATCGATTTTCAAGAAATCCATTTTCTATCACCTAGTACTTCTACAAATTTATTTATAAGCGACATTTCTCTGTTTATTTCTAAACCTACGTTGCTATTCTAACGTTCAAATTTTGTACCTATAATTTATCGACACCCTATGCGAACTCCTTTATTTGTGTGATTTTTGTAAATAAATATTTTCATTTATCCATTCTTTTTTTCTTTTACTATTAATTTATTGCTTATCGTATCAACTATTTAGACAGAGTATATTATTGTAAATCAAGAAATCTTTATATATTTGTCAAGATTTTTCGTT